CTGTTTTTCCTAAAAGGCTTTCATTGTGCATCAATGTGGGAAATTGCTAATGCAATAAGATTGACATATAGGTTCTCCTGCATGAACATCCGCAGTAATCTGTGCTAATTGAGCCCTCGGTGGCTTGTGAAACCCTGCAGGGGGGAGGAAGGGTGGAACATCCAGAGGGCCTACGTCTTGGAGAACTGCAGAAAACAAGAGTGTGGAAGACAGGTAAGCACTAATATTAGTGTGTTTTATCCATTTAAAGATCTGATTCAGTGGCAGGAATTGTTTTGAACAATGGGCCAATGCTCCCAAGCAACACCACTGAGGCATTTTCCATCAAAAATACCTGGATATGTTTGGACTCCCTATGGAAGTTATTTCACAACAACAGGACTAAGAACAAAAGGAGTGAGAACTTGTCTATCTAGTTCTCTCCTGTGGGGGGGAAAGGAGGAGATGGCTGGCCATTCCCAGTGACTTCAGCTGAAGATGTGGGTGCTCAGCTTCTCTGTAAACCAGAACACTTGCTTACGAGATTAAACAGGCTTCCTATGCCTACATTTGAGCCTAGGAATATAAAACAAGGGCTGGATTCTCTTTAGCATGTAAGATGACATGCTATGCTAACAACCAGCTTCAGGAAACACTGAGCAAAAGGCAGAACTAGGGCCCTGAATCTTTAAAAGAAAGATATCTCTCTTCTGCAAAACCACCCTAGGAGTCCAAAGAATACAACATCTTTCCAGGGATGATTCTCCCCTTCCTCTCCCCTCCTAGCACTCGGCTCTGCCCCACGCAGCCCCTGCAGCCCAAGAGTCCCAAGCAGGTTACCACCAAGAAGCCTTGGTCCCAGCATCAGTCTCGTAGGACACGCAGCAGGGCAGGCATGGGAGCCGTGGGCTGCTGCCTCGCACAGGAATGAATTTTGGTTTCTCTACTCTAGATGTCCCTGTGGAGGCCTCATGCCCTTCATGAAGTAATTCAAGATCTGTTGATGAGAGAGAGATAAATTAGCTACCTCATATGTGCTGCAGGGTAAGAAACTGCACGTTGGCAGCTGGGTAAGAGTAATCTGACAGAGACAAGTAGGTTTGGATAGGCCAGGCCAGCAAGTAACCATAAGGGAGTCTTGAAAAGCGACATGAACTGCTTCTGCCTCCAGTCACTTCTGTACCTACTGGGCAGTGTGTGGGACCGCATGGTGCCACTGGCCTCTGGGTAAATGGCTTTCCCTCAGGTGCCTCGATTTCTGCATCTGTCATACAGGTACTGGGATGGGGATGACTTTGTAAAGCACTATGAATTCTCCTGATGAAAAACGCTGCACAGAAACGCTTAAAAAAAAAAAAAAAAAAAAAAAGGATTTTTTGTTAAGGAAAGGCAAGGCAAGAAAACACACCAGAAAAAAGATTAGGTATTGTTGAAATGTATTGACCTCAGTAGCAGGGTTGTTTGCATTATAAAGGATTCTTCATTACACAGAGCTTTGCGATTAGCAGACGCCACTTTCTGGAAAGGGTACTTCCACCGCCAGCTCCCTGCCTGCTGTTCTTCCCAGCATAGCTGCATGACCGAGTACACCACCAGACCAAACAAACACAGAATAACCGTTACCAAGAAATGGCCGATCCGGCTCCTACTGTAGCCAGGTAATGAGGGTAAAAGGAAGACTGAAGCAGAACAAACTGTAATGACCCAAGGGTCTGTTAATCTTCTTTCCTCCTTATTTCTCTTTTCAGTGAAGGACGAATTTGAGGCCAATAGTTCTGGGGAACTCTGTAAGTGGGGAACATTTTCAAAGCCTAAACAAAGACCAGGCGTACAGAGAGACTCCAGAACAGGAGTCTGCATGGAGACGTTCCAGAAAGAAAAGCAAAAGACGCAGGATTTTGGCAGGGGTCGTGCTGACTGGGAGCACAACGTAGGTGGGAGAAAAGAGCTTGTTGGGAAACGGGAGGTTGCAGTATGAAGCTGGAAGATTGCCACAATGTGGACTAATGCTTTGGCAGCTGCAAACAAAAGGAAGGAGGAATGTAAGACGTAACATGAAGAAAAAGTGTCAAGAGATATCTGGGAGTACCAAGACCTCTGAGGAAACAGAATAGGCAAAGATGATGCTAAGTTTGGCAGAGGGAAGGATGGTGATGCTACTGACAAGGAAAGAGGGGGAAGGAAACAAGTTCTGGAGAGAAGGATGTGGGAAAGATAAGGCATTCCTCCTCCCGGTCAGAAACACGCCTTGATCTTAATGCTGTCTCAGAAAAACATAAATCAATTATCAGATTTTCCTCTTCTGTTTTGTTTTGTGTTTCCATGTAGGGGCGACTGCATAAACTGGGAAATCGACTCCACTCCGCTCCACCGCGTCCTTGCTGTGCCCTTGTCCAGAGGACCTGAACCTCAAAACAAACTGCTCAACCTTACATCTGTCTAAGATGTTGCAATAGTTCTTGCAGAAACCTGCAAGTGGTCCTATGGAATGATCTGTCAAAAAATCACAGGTATCTGCACAAAACTTGGGCAGATAACGTTTCACCTGCTTCGATTTAAACACATACATGTATTAGTCAGGCTCTCAGTCTGGGCTCTGATCCCGCAGTCTATTAGATCCGCTCATCTGCAAAAGCACAGCAAGGTTTTCAGCTGCTGTAACAGAGGGCCCTTGACTATTTAATTCACCTCTTCATCTGTAAAATTCCCACAGTATTAACCATTCAAACATTATAGACAAAATATAAAATGGGAAATAATCTGGGATATTTTTCAAAAATTAATTTTATTATAATGTATTCAGAGTCTAATGCTGCCTTACAACAAATGTCCTCAAAGACAGTAATAGGACAGCAATGATTCTCTCAAATTGTCATTGTTATTGCTATCTTTTGCTGTTAATGTACAATAACACTAATGATTCTTTATACCTGCCTGCAGCAGGAAACCAGGCAGTCTACCAGAACAACCTTTCCTATGTATGTTTTTGCTGTGCTGTTTTCAGTTCAAATATTTATGATTTTTTTTTTTTTTTATTTCTTCCCCATCCCTGTACTTCATATTTGTAAGGGGTATATCGCACAGCAAACGGAATCTCTGCAACCTTTCACTATATTTTTTGCAGCAGACAAATTATATATATATTTTATATATATGCAGAGCATATATATTATTCCCTTCTGGCTCCTCTTATTCTGTTAAGTTTCTTTGAAACGGGGTGCCTGCTCCTGCTCATGCTGGAATTACTGTTAGCCAGTATCAGAACCCGTGATAAACTCTACCTAGTGTTTTGGTTAGAGGTCACTTGTAATTAGTAGTCATTGTCCTTTGAATTTAACAATGGAAAAATAAAACTTTATAGAGACAGATTAGCCTGGCCATCAAAATTACTGCACTTTAGCATTCAGGAGGGAGGATTACATGACACACTATCTCCCGGGCTGATAACAGCAGATAGCCAGGGATTCAAATGTGAGATGCAGAAAGTCTGTTAAAGAATAAAAGGAGAGAAAGGAGGATTAACTGTCCAGATGTTACGCAATACATTATACTGACACTTCTACGCTCCTGTTTTAGAAAGGCCTCATCTTGTACCCACTGAAAACAACATGGGGCACTACTACCAGTTTCTGTGAGAGCAGCTTCCAAACCTCAGGTGCTACCCAGTTCCTCTACACACCCCCCCACCTTTTACAGATATTTGGCACGTGTGTGCATGCCTCTTAGCCTTGGGCAAGTGTGTTAATAAAATATTAATACTCAACTTCTTCAGAAAGTTGTGCAGTTGACAGCTTTGTGCGTATTCATTTCAGTTGCTGCACACAAATAAAAGCTTCTATCTCAAACTCATATCAATTTACAAATCCTGACTACGATAAGGATTCATGATAAAATACACTTGACCCTTATTCCAGACATTTTTGCAGAATTACTGCTTATCAGCTTCTGTGCAAGTTAACAAAGTGAAAAAAAAATGTTTTTAACTCCATCACAAAGGACAGACAAGAATGGGAATTACTGCCAAACTCAGTAAATATAATACAAGATATTCTTGATACAACTCACTTCAAATATATTTTGGGGCACATTTATTTTAGCTATTATGTCAAATTAACTCAATATTAAAAAAAAAAAAAAAACAAACCACCAACAACAAAACCAAACCAAAACAAACAAACAAACAACCACCAAAAAAAAAACAAAAACAAAAACAAAAAAAACCCACAAACATCTCCAGCCTCTGCTTTAAAATCTAACAGGAAGCAAACACGATCCAGCCAGACACTGGTACTTATCAAATCCGAAAGAAGGGAGTTGTCTGGCTGGATTAAAACAGATGAGGTTGGTTTGAGTGATGACATTTGTCCTACCACTGCTGAGGGGAAGAATTTTGCAGCGATTTCTTCAGCTTATACTCCTGAAGATGAGATTACTCCTACTGCACAAATACATGCACATAGAAAGACACACATTTCCACACACTGGAGATACAAAGTACTGAAACTTGTGTTATCTGCAGGGTCTTTCCCAAACCACCACAAACTCGAATACATTCCCAAGCTATGCGTATCATTTCCCACTTCTGCCAAGGGACAGCTCATTCACCGAAAAGCTGACCATTCTGGGCTGAAAATTCTTTTCACTAATTTATAAATGCAAGTGATTAACAGTGCACGTGTGTGTGTGCATGTGCGCATGCAGCTCCATGTACGTGTCATTTATTCCCACTAATGCCTCTTTCAAGGCAGACCTGGCCAGCATCAAATAAATTTACCCATAAAATCAAAGTACAACAACACAAAGTTACTGCACAATATCTGAATTGTTACAGATGAGCTGAACTTTGAATTCCCTCCACTTAGAGCTGCCTGAGCATGGAGATAAAATTACAATAAACCATAATTTGCCATATCGAGGGCTATTGTTTTTGGAAATGTTGGTTACTTGCTAGCAAGTAACGTTTTAACTCCAGAACCAAAAAAAAAAAAAAGATAGTCCCCGTTTGTAGCTGGAATACAAACCCAAATGCCAGCGATTCTGCTCCGTTTTGCTAGGGAGCGTGTCCAGGAGTGAGATTTCTTGAACAGAAAATAAACTCTGAAAGAAAAAGCATTTCCAAACGTGTCATGTGGGGTTTTGTTGGGTGTTTTTTTTTTATTTTTTTTCTCCTACTTAAACGAGAAGGAAAGAAATCCTAACAGCGGGAAGACTTGTCAGCGTCTAGCCATCCATAAAAATGTTTTGGGTTTTGTTGGGTTTTTTTTTGTTTTTTTGTTTTTTCTTTTTCCCTCCCCGCGCTCCTCCTTTCGCTTGCAGTCCTGGCGTCGGTTTGTCTCATCTCGCTGCCGCCCCGGCCGCCGCCGCAGCCGCAGCCCCCCCCGCCCGCCCCCCGCCCCAGCGCAGCGGGGCCCGGGCCGGCAGCCGCGGGGACACCGGCCGAGGAGCGGGGGGGGGGGGGGGTGGGTCGCTGCCCGGCCCGGGGAGCGGGGGGGGGGGTGTCGCTGCGGCCCACCGCCGCCGCTCCGCGACGCGGGGAAGGATGCGGAGCAAACCCGGGCGGGAAGTTTCGAGGGGCGGTGGCGGGACTGTCCCTCCTGGCTCCCCCCCCCCCCCCCCCACCGCCGCCGCCACCCCTCCTTTTCCCGGGACGCGGCTCTTACCTGCCACCGGGTGCGGGGGTCTCCGCGCGCGTCGGGCGGGAGCGGGGCTGCAGCTGCGGGGCGGCGGCGAGGCCAGGGCGCAGCGGCAGCGGCGGCGGCGGCGGCGGCAGCAGCAGCAGCCCCGGCCGGCGTCAGTCAGGCGGGAGCCGCCAGGCTGTATTAGTGCGCCGGGCTGGACCGCGGCCAGCAGCACCGCTGCCGCTGGCCCGCCCCTGCGCCCCCCCCCCCCCCCCCCCCCCCCCCCCACCCCACGCCGCGCCGCCCCGCGCTCACACCCCCCCACCCCCACGCACCCACAGGGCGAGCACCGGCACCGCGCGCCCCGCCGCGCGCTGCCCGCCTCTCCCGAGCTCAGCCCCAGCGCAGGCGGCTGAGTTCAACACCACCACCCCCCCTCCGCCCCCAGCCGCTTCACCCCGCGGCACGGACACGCGCGCCCACGCACGGACAATCCACGCTTCGCGCGTCCCCGCCTCACGCACGCACACCTCTTCCCCCCCCCCCCGCCCCGTCACGCAGACACACGGCCGCGCTCGCCTCCCCCCCCCCCCCCCCCCCAGCCCCCGCGTCCCGCGGGAGAGCGGCCGCCTCAGGCGCCGCCATTTCCCCGCCCCGCGGCTCCCCGCTGAGGGGGCGCCCCGACCGCAGCCCCACGCGAGGCCGGCGGCAGAGGCCGGGGCTGGGGCCGCGTGGGGTGGACGAAGCTTTTTTGTGTGGGTCCTCCGGGGCAGAGCCCGTTGCCCGGCGCCTTCGCAGCCAGCCCTCCGCTTGTGGCCGCTCACACGAACACCCGCGGGTGCCCACAGTGGCCAAGCGGGGCGCGGGGGGCGGCTTCTCCTCCGTCCTGCACCGCTCCCGATGGTGCTGACCCGGCTTCTGGGACAAACTCCAGGTGTGAGGAGGGACTGAGAAGGTGTCCCTCAGGGGCGGCCGGATTTGGGGATTCGGGAGACGGGCTGTGCCTTCCTACAGCGGGCTGTGCTGAGGCCACCAGCTCTCCCCACTCGTGCCCTCGGTTTCTCCTCCTGGACCCCATACCAGAGCTGTCACCTGCGTGGGGTGTCCTACAGAAACCCCCTTCGCCTGGTGTTCGCTCTAGCGCCTGGGGCCATGGCAGCCAGCTGCTGGGCTCCCGCTGACTGCAGAGTCGGCGTCTTGAATTTGCTGTCCCGAAAATCTTCCTGGTGATTTCATGAGGCAGGCTTGTGGGACCTCCATTTAGCTTCTAACTGCAGTGCAAGAAAAAATAAATAAAAAATATATTAAAAAAAAAAAAGTAGGATTAATGATACCTGCACATAGTAATACCTGCACAGGATTTTTGAATGGTCCCATCAGTTCATGGGGACCATGAGAACAGCAAACTGCAGATGTTATTGGAGAGCAGATGTATTTTCTGTTCTAGGTATTACCTATTAAACCCTCATATTAGCTATGAGTAACCATTTCTAGCTACGTAGCATATTGTATTAGCTGTAATAAGGAGGGGCTGAAAGAGAAGTATCAGGGAAGTCAAGTGGTTTCAAGGACATGAGAAAAAAAAAGGTACTCTGAAACTGGGGCTCTGAGCAGTGCTAGGAATAGGTACTGACTGAACCTGACCCTGGTTGCATTGAGGGGTTCCAGTTAAATTGCACTGAGCCTTTTGAGGTCAATCAATAAATATGATTAAAGATACCATCCTGCTGACATTTTCGCCAAAATTTTTACATTGTAAAACATGACAGAAAAGCTAATGTTGTTTGAGTAGACATTAAAAAGTCACATTGGAACTATAGCTCCACAGCACAAATTTATCAAGCTATGTGCGTGTGAGGGTTGTGGTGGCACAGGGAGATGCAAAGTAACACCCCAAATACCTCTGTTACCCACTTTGGCCCGTCTTAAACTACCAGCAGCTTCCCTACTGCTGTGTCACCTCTCCTACAGGAGACTTCTCACCAGATAAGTGGCAGGAGAGATGCTATTATTTATAAGTCACTGTAGAGCTTTATAAAGTGCCAATCATGCATTCTAAATCAGCATGACTTGAGATTTTATATCCATAATGCTGTTTATTTTTAACTCAAGCACTTAAGACATAACACTGCAAATGCTATACACGTGGACAGTTGGGGTGGCTCGGCTGAGGTGTGGGGTGTAGCTTATGGAGGCACAGCTCTTGATCATGAATCAGGGCTCTCATACTCAAGTTCTGCTGGGTCTCACTGCATCTCTTTCAGGTGTTGAAACCTCCAGGTTCTCATGCCTCCGCTCAGAGTTGCTGCTGCCAGCGAAGAGGTGGTGGGACAAGGTGGGTCTGCACTCTCGCCTCCCTGGTGCACAGCCTGCTGTGCTACGGGCAGCCCATCTTCATTGGCAGGATGAATTAAAGTGCCAGTTCTGCTACTGGCGCATTCCCAACCAGTGGGGGACAGCAGCAGAACCACTGCCTAGATTTATCGGTCGTTTCCTAAATCTCTGATAGTAGCTTCAAGTTAAATAAGCAGAAACTATTTGTTAAATGACTAAATTACACTCATAGCTGTGTGGTGCCAATTTTAACCTCACCATTTTGAAAAAGTCTAGCTAAAAGAGATCACATGGGTATTATATATTACTAGAGTTTTGTATACTACAGATTATGTGGCAGGGAACACTTATTTTTGCACACAGTTGTATTTCAGATCATGTGGCACGTGCACGTAGCTGTTTTATTACAGTGGCTGAATATATGCAGGCATTACCTGTGATCTGCTAAACCTACTGAACGATATATCTTCTCAGGATCAGAGCTCATATATCCCACCTCTCCTTTCCCCTCTCTCCACCCACACTTTCAGACCCATCCCCGAGTCCGAATTCTCATCCGCACGGCTTTTGAAGCCCGTGTCCTCATTGTAAGGCTCTGCTCTCCGCTCCTCCTGCCGGTGTGACTCATCACCTGTCACTCTTCTGCACCGCCTGGGCTCTGCTAATTCCATTTCTCATTTGCCATTATCCCTCTCGAGTGCCTCAGTTCCCATCCTGACCCTTATAAGTGCAAATGCCCTCCTTTAACCCGCACACGGTGTAACTTTCCTTCTCGAAACCCATCCCATAAAACACAGACCAGCCTTCTTTCCTCATAAAATAAAACGTGATTTGAGAGTATTCTCCTTTTTTTTTTTTTTTTTGGTCTTTTTATGCTGGATAGCTCTGTAAAGAAAATCATCAGTAAAAGGATACATATAAAATAGTAAAGACTTGATGTAGCTGTAAAAGGGAAGGAAGGGTTCTAATTTCTTTCAGCATTGAAACCGTGTAAAACACACAGAATAACATGAATTTTCCACTTGCAGGGAACTGCGAGTTCCTAAGAGCTGTAAATACATCAACTCTGTATGTTCTGCTCCAGGGCCTCGTTGAAGTACTGGCACTGTCCACCGCTGAACAAGAAATAGCTGTTACAACAGCAGTGTCATGTGCTGTGAGATGGACATACCTCAGACGGCTCCAAGTGTGCTGGCACGGGCACTAGAAGACTTCTAGCCCCAGTATCATGGATTTACTGTGTGAGTTACATTTTCCTCGTGGGCTTTCTCTAGGCGAAAACACAGCAGGCACTTGCTTCTGGCAGCAGATTCTTGGGAACAGCAATATAGCTGTGGTTCCACTGCCCACTTTGCCAGTGACAGAGCCCCGGAAAGGAAGGGCTGTCCCTGTGTCACGGGTGCAGTCAGATGTGCAGGGCAGCACTGCCAAGAAGGAGATGCTGACTATTCAAGCAGCAGCAATCACCATCTCACTCCCTCAGTGAGTTTGTGAACAAGGAGCTCAAACCCTGCCAGGATGCCTAGCTCCTCACCTTTTGCTCCCCCTCCCAGGTGTGCTGGGTTTCTGTGGTGGGGTTTTTGGTGCTCCGTATCGGACCCACCTCTGGCCAGGGCTGAGCCCATCAGTGATGGTGGCTGCACCTCTGTGATAACGTATTTAAGAAGAGGAACCTGAGAGTGGGGTTGGGACTTGCGAGGAGGAGTTGGGACAAGGACGAACACCACAGTCAGCGGAAGGAAGGAGAAGGATGTGGGGGAGATGTGCCGGAGCAGAGATGCCTGTATCCCGTGGGGAGATGGCAGGGCGCCCCCCCTCCCCCCCCCCCCCCAGCTACCCATGGAGGTCCACGGTGAAGCAGAGGCCAATCTGAAACCTGTAGAGGAGCCCACTCTAGGACAGGCATCTGAGCTTAAAGTAGGCCGGGACTCTGAGGGAAGAAGCAGCCCCCACTGTTGCAGTTTGGCGCTGGGAGGACTGGAACACGCAGGGGGGACCCACGCCAGAGCCGCATGGGAATGGCTGTAGTCCATGGGGAGGACTCACCGTGGAGAAGGTTCCTGGAGGCCTGTCTGCAGTGAGAGGGGAGCCCCGGGGAGCAGGGGAGGGATGTGCGGTGCTCACCCCACCTCCCGAGAAGGAAGGAGCAGGAGCTGGCTGCGACCCCCATCCCCTGCCCCTGCGCTGCTGGGGGAGGAGGGGGAGAGATGGGGAGCAGAGCTGAGCCCGGGGAGAAGGGAGGGGTGGGGGGAGGTGTTTGGATGTGGTTGGCACTTCTCACTGTCCCACCTTTTCTGTTAAGTGTTGTCTTGTTAGAGTTTGAATTCAAGTGATGTTTTATTTTCTTCCCCTAAGGAGTCTGTCTCACCTAATGGGTGAGACAGACTCCTTAGGGGAAGAAAATAAAACCTAATGGGTGAGACACCCCTCCCTGTCCTTATCTGGATTCCTGAGCCATTTTTGCTTCATTTTCTCCTTCTCATACCTGAGAGGGGAAGCCTCTGGGCTCAAACTGGGACACCAGGGTAGGACTGGGCCAGCCCCAGCCCCTCACCCTCTGGTGTGGCTGAGTTTGTCATTGGTTGTGCTGTCTAGAAGCTTGGAGCTTGCTCAGTTTAACCTGCTTTGAGTGTCTCAGTATCCTAACTATAGTCTGAACAGTTTGGACACATCTGTATCAGGTTTAACAATAAACACTTGAACCATCCGGGAGTCTTCTGTCACGCATCTTTTCCAGCACAAGCAGGGTAAAA